CAAGTGAGAACAAAGAGGAAAAACATAATTGCCTGTCAACTGATAGACGCTCAAATATGATTGCTATAAAGTGCTTGCAAGGAAAAAGCATGTTTTTCCCTGTTCACCCATATGGGAAGGAGTAAGACGCCCCAGTGATTTCTCAAAGGTAAACAAGCATGCGTTCAACAGAGCTTGTTTAAAAGTCAGGTTGCACAGAATCATAGAATGGTTTGGGTCGGAAGGGATGTTAAAGCTCATCCAGTTCCAACCCCCTGCCATGACACCAGGAAGCTGAAGAATCCCTGGCGCAAGAGAGTCAAGATTTCCAAACACATTAAGCTAGAGAAAGAAGGCAGCAGTAAGGAAATACTTGCAACACTACTTAAGGGGCATTAGGAAGAGAATTTTCAACTTGGAGTGCAGTATTACTGCAAATACCTCTGAAAGACCGAGAAAAAGAAACTGCACTGTTAGGATTTTTTTTGTTATTGTGTTTTTGTGTTTTTTTTTTTTTTTAAATAACAAACAAAAAACCCAAGAGAAAAAAAAAAGAGTTGCAGGTGCTGTGTCTGTTATGCATTTTCCCTTCTATAAGAATGACCCATACATTTCTATGCAAAAATTCTACATGAAACAGAAAAACAAATAAATGAGCCCTCATAACTGCTCCTCACGGTCACTAGGTAAGGTAAAAGAGACAACACAATATAACTTTAACTTCACAGACATTTCTGAGCAGAGATGAGGAAATATTACATATAAAGAAATTATTTCACATTAAAAAGACTTCACAAGAAACTCGGCATTATACCATCCCTCTAAGGGGGTCAGGGAAGTCACAGTAAACAAGATAGGGAGAAGACATCATGAGGTCATAAGCCCTGCATCAGAAAGGCTTCTCTTTCACCAAATCACTGAATTCCTGAGGTTGGAAAGGACCTCTGGAGATTGTCTACTGCAACACTACCACTCAAAGCAGGGTCAACCTTCTCTTTTCCAAGGTAAATAATTCCAACTCAGCCCCGCCTTTTATATGATGCTCCAATTCCTTAATCTTTGTGGCTTGGCCCTTGGCTCATACCTGCAAGTCTGCATCTCTTGTGCTGAGGAGCCCAGAACTGGACACATTATTCCACGGATGGCCTCACCAGCATTGACTAGAGGGGAAGGCTCACCTCCCTCGATCTGCTGGCAACACTCCTTCTAATGAAGCCCAGGATGCTGTTGGCTTCCTTTGCAGCAAGGGCATATTGCTGGCTGATACTCAGTTCATTGACCCCAGGTCCTCCTTTCAAAAAATACAATTTGTTTTAAGAAAGGGAACAATGGCGTGCTGTAGCAACTCAAAAGTCCAGAGATCCTCCTATCAAAAGGTGCAGTAACAACTGTTCAACTCTCTCCATCAGCTTGGGAGATACCTCCCACCATCTGCTATTTACAGGTAGACCCTAAACTTAGCTCAAGGCAATGCACTTTACCTCTTTCAGTGTGCTGATGCAGTTTATCTCGATATTTGGGAAAAGAGTACACTCAGATGAAAGCCAATAATTTGTCAAGGCATGCAATGTAAGTATGTGCATTTGCACACTTACAATTACCAGCTGAAAGAGCTGGGCTTGTTCAGCCTGGAGAAGAGAAGGCCCCAGGGAGACCTTAGAGCAGCTTCCAGTGCCTAAAGGAGCCAACAAGAAATCTGAAGAGGGGGTTTTGAAAAGGGCCTGTAGTGACAGGACAAGGGGGAGTGGCTTTAAACTGAAAGAAGGTAAATTTAGATCCCAAGCCATTCTCTGATTCTATAATCCTGTGAATTTTAAACATAATTTAACAAACAAAACCCTGTTTTAATACAGATTCAAGAGATTATGTGGAAAAATTCTTACTTCAGTTTATACTACTGCTTAATTTTACATGAAAACAAAAAAATGAAACATGTTTTGAGTTAAACCAAAACCACCCATTCACAACAAACAGAATGGTGCCAGTCCAGCCAGACCCACTTGTTGCATATGCCATGATTTCCACACTGCCTCTGCGGAGCTATAAACTACCCATATCAAGTCCTCTAAATCAAAGAGAATTCCGCTTCCACCATCTCTTTGGCCTGAGAGGCAGAGCTTCTTGACCAAAGGTACATTCCTGACTTCACCTGAAAAACAAACGTAACACACATGGTACCACTGAGACAACCAAAGCCATCCTCTTGTTCCTTATGCTCCCTTGAGAAATAGTGTAGAAATTAAAAAGATAAGAATACCATGATTATTACCGAACTACTTAAGACTAAACGTATATGGGGCAAAGAAACCCCAGTCTCCAGGAGTCAGGATATGAGAAATCACAGAACTTGCAGCAACAAGACTGCTAACAGTGGAGTGAGTTCTGGGGTGTTTATTAATAAAGTCTACACATTTCCATCTCTGCCCCATGCAATTCCAGTCAGGCAGTTAAAAAAAAAAAAAAAATGTAAATCACCTTTGTTTTGTTTTTCTTTTTCCTGTCTGAAGCAGCAGTTTTGCTCTCAAATCAAGCAAATGGTCTTTGGCAATTTATGCTCTTTAGTTACATGTATGAGCAGGAAAAGGGAGAAATAAGTAAAAGAGACCAATGAAACATTTATGGAAAGGCTGGCACCATCAAGGACATCCATCTGAAAATCAGAGTAAATAACACTTCCCACAAGAACTTCAAGTTTCTCATGCATGAGACTATTTGTAGCAATTTGGCCACAAACATATCAAAAGCTTTCCAACTCCCAGAAATTACAGCCATATCAAGATACTGGATATGACTCGTAACCAATGTCATGGTTGAGTATTTTTCTTACATCTAAGAAAGCAACTGTACTACTTCTACACTCTTCCTCATTACAGTGTTTCAAATCATTAATCAAGAGCTTCAAAATAATTTTATACTTGATATTAATCACTAAACAGAGACACACACGATAGAAACTAATCTCTGTTTTCAAGGCAGCAATCATCATGTTTCACACAAACCTAGGGTATCTTCTGTGTTTTAACTAAGTAGCCATGAGTGAAAGTAAGAGTTACTAAAAAGCATAATCTTTACCCATACTATGTTTTTCCTGTCCAGTATTTGCAACAGTCTCAGGTTTTTATTAAGTATTCTCCTACCTCTCAAACAGTCCAAAGGAGGTAAGATCAGATGATACGTTGCTAAAAACATTTTACCATTCACAGTCTTTGAAATTAAAGCCTCAGTCTACGGCAGCTCATACGGATCAGGCTTCAGCATTCAGATCCCAATGATTTCTAAACAGAAAGCCAACATGCTTAACTGTAAGTACATGGCATACTGTTGTTGTGTGGGACCAAGGTCCTGGAGGGTCATCAGTAAACACCACTGCAATTTTATTTAAGTGCTGCTATAAACACAGTTGTGAGTGATGTAAGAACAGTTACTAGGTCTGGCTCTTTGCTGTGACACTAAGGAAACAGTGGATTAACAGCTAGGCATGACTGAAGCTTTTAATTTCAGACTCTGAACTGACAACTTTTTAACCTTGACAGCTGTCCCTTCTCATTTTTTTTATATTTTTTTAATCATAGAATCATAGACTCACAGACTGGTTTGGGTTGGAAGGGAGCTTAAAGCTCACACAGTACCAAGCCCGCTGCCGTGGGCAGGAACACCTTAAAGAAAGCAGTCAAAAAACAAGGAACTACAGCAGCTTACAAAATGTCAACCTGGTGTTGGCATTTCATAGGAAGTGCCATTCCATTCTATCTACTTCCGTATAAAATACCCCATTTAACACCATATTTGCTCTTTAAATTAAACTAGTGGACTCCAGATCTAAACTTAGTCTTCAGCATTAATTAACTCCACATACATTACTTGCTGTCAGGATACACACAGGATTCCTGCTAATTTAATATACTTCCATATGGCCATTTTCTGTGGGAAGAATTCCTTTCACCTTAAAGGCATCCATAGTGAAGTCAGAATTAACAGGACAAGGTCCTCTCTGGAAAAGTACTTTGGTCCAACAAAGTCACTTTCCCTTTTACTGATTACAGCTGTACCTTTCCACCAGTTACCTGAAGGATACAGGCAGCTACAGCCTTTGACAAGTGAACAAAGCTAAGGATTTTTCTTCTTTGGGTCCATACAGTTTCATCTAGTACTTGTAAGTCTTTCATGTATAAATACATAAACTTACAAATGATAATTCATATAAATAATGTAAATACATACATTAAAAAATAAATTATGTAATTAATTTACCCATAACTCCTCACTCATCTAGCACAGCAGATCTTCAATCATCACTGCAATGAATACGGGGCCCAAACTACACAACATCAGTGCTGCTTGTGCACAGGGTTAGTAAATAGCACATGGGAAATGGTGAAGAGTATTGAAGAGGGAGGAAGGAACCAGACAGAGATCCAAGTATTTCCAAGAACCCTAGAAGCTACACATCCCTTATTCCTCACCTGGTCACCTTTGATCACCAAGAGCCCCCTGAATCCAGAATCACCTGGAGTCTTTTACTTGCTGGCACAAAGATGATTATTTAACATTGCCACTTAAAAATATACTGATTTTGTTTACCGAAGCATAGCGAGTGAGAATTCCTGTTTAAACCCATGCAGACTTACATACCTTGCTGTCTAGGTACATTAAATAGATATCACATATCAAATAAAAGTTAGCTTGCAAGACAGGATAACTGAGAAAATAACAATAAAAATAGGCTTGGAAAATCAATTACTCTTTGGAAGTGCAATGGAATAAGTTAGGCAATCAGACTGTTTGAATATTTGGCTTGGCACCTAAGAACAGCCGTATTTTTCTTTTTGGGTCTATGTCTTGGCTGTTATTTCTTGCCACAAAATATTTAAGCTCAAACATATGTTCAGCTACAGGTCTTGAGAAAAATACCCTGGGAAAACACAAACTGAAAAAAAGGCTATGTTTCTTTTTCAGAGCTAAAAACTCCACATTTATCACCACCGTATCCATTTAAGCATTTAAGTCAAATTAATATTTACCCATGAGCAGGATCCAAAGCTATTGCTCTGGGCTGATCTAAGTCTTGCCAGAAGAGGACTTTTCTAGATGTTCCATTCAGATTAGCTACTTCTATCCTATTGGTTTCTGAATCCGTCCAGTAAAGCTTTTTCCCAATCCAATCACAAGCCAGGCCATCCGGGGAAACCAGACCAGAAATGATGACATTCTGCACCACATTCCCAGTTTGGTTAATGTGAGTTTGCTTGATGGCTTCTTCACTCACATCTGTCCAGAAAACAATGCCTTGCGAATACTGGAAGTCAACCGCAGCAGCATCCTCTAAACCACTGACCACAACAGTGGACTCCAGCTTTGTGCCTCCAGCATCCACGAGTCGAACATCCCGCCGGTTGGCGAAAAGCAGAAAGGGAGATGCTACAGGAAAAAAAAAAGAAGCCACGTTAGTATTATTGGCATTTATAGATGTTGAAGTACTGAGTAGGAATAGGGCAGAGAAGGATTTCTTTTCCCAGGTAAGCAGGACAGGCAGTACAGCAGAAGGGATGTGATAAGTTTCACGAGAGAAAAATGAACACTACCCAAAAAATTCTTCCATCCACATGTCAGACACAGGAGTAAAAGACAGAGGGAAGAGCAGGCCCAATTCTATAGCTACAGGATATGGATAGCATCTTCAACACAATTAAGAGTTCAAACTGGGGCCCTTCAACAATACCTTCTGCCAGTCATAAACCCAGACTTAGATCAAATTAAATCTTCATGGTTTAAAAGCTTGATTCAACCAGTTGAAGTAATAATCATACACAGAAGGCAAGTTCTGATGACTTTTAGAAGTAGGCTGAAAGCTAACATTACTAGATACAGTACCCTGAACACTCCTACCAAGTGCCCTCCTAGACGGCAAACACTGTGACAGAGGTTCAGAACTACTTTCTTCTCCCCTGCACCACAAGAAAGAAATTACAGGAAGAGTTTGAAGAAAGATGAAGATGTGGGTTGTGGAAGTTTGTGGGGACTGCCCACAAACAGAGGCAGACAGAGCAAAAGGACAAAAGTTCTTGCTGTTAGAAGCTTTAAGTGGGTGGTGGAAGCTAGAGTCCTAGTACTGAATGACAGGGAAGGCTCTGAAAGTGAAGCTAACTTATGACTGATGCAAAAGAGATGGGAATCTTCAAGATAGGTCAAAATGACAGCCACAGAGATATTCCAGCAGTACCTGCACAGGTTATAGATCTCTTGTCTGCATGATTCAGTTGGATAATGACATGACCTGAGCAGATAACACTGGCATTCACAGGCAGAAAGGAAGGAGATGGGGAAAGAGACTCATGATAGGCAAGAAAGTTAACCTCGCTGATTTGGAACTGACAGTAAGACAGAAGCAGTGGTAACACTAGCAAAGATTTTAGCAAGACAAGATGACTTTACTGTTACACCAGATCTCATCTGCCATTATACCCAAAGACAGAGATAAATCTGTGCTTGAAACTGAGGCTGTTCCTCCACACTCTGAGGAGGAAAGTTGTGAAGGTCTGAGTCCTACAAGTCCTCCCTCCACTTGCCATGCAGAATATTACAAAACTCTAGAAGAGGGAGATTGTAAAGATCCTCTGAAGGATCTGCTATGGGGGAAGAAGGAATGATTCAGAGACAAAGGAATGATTTGGCCCAACTGTTTCTTCCAGAAGTGGATATTAAGTAGACATACATTGCTCCCCAACCATACCAGCCACACCGATGGCCAAGTTTACCACTTCATTTTTCTCCTAAAAGTGGAGGCTTGCTTCTTCATCTAGCAGTAAACAAGAAAAATAGTTACCTGCAGATATGGCTGGGAAGGCAGCAGCCATACGTGCAAGCTCATATCACAACGACTGCAAGCTCACACTGCCAGATCGTGAGGAGCTTCTCACCAACCAGCACCCCCAATACAGCTCCAAGTTCCAGCTCTGCTATGCCAGCAGCCTCACCACGTGCTATTGGCTTTTTCACAAACTCTGGCTCCAGCTACATGCTCACTAGAGTGTGTGTGCCACTGCATGGGCCAAAGTGAAATACATCTCTAACAATAGTGTATATATTTATGTGAAGGCCAAGGACCTCAGAATCTACGCCTCAGCTTTAGATGAAAAACATGCATAAAAATTCAGCATCTCTATTCTGCATGGTCTTTTCCCCCTTCTTTACCCATCCCCTTCTCTTCCCACATCCACCCACCCGAGTCAGGAAGGAGGTAGCTTTGTTTTTCTTTTTGGAGGAAGTCTATGCTGATGAAAGTAATACAGAAAATTTAAATCAGCTGGTGGTTTTATTGAGGATCTTGGACAGCAAAGAACACAAACAATTACCATAAATGTTTCACTGAAAATGCAGTATCTTTGTTTTCTACAATATTTAACTCAAGAAAGTTTATACAGCTTGAGGAGAATTGTTTCCTAAGAAATGAAGTCTCAGTATCACTCCTCTCTCATTTCCTAACTTGCCAAGTCCTCCTCTCTGTCATCTTTGAAAACACTAGATAAAGCACCTGACAGGTTAGTTATTGAAAACAGAAGAAAAAATATCTACAATGCAAAGTACTTGGTTTCTTCTCTGCAACTCATTGGTTCCCCATAACTATGTCAATTTTAAGTGGCACTGTATCATATCATTTGAACACTTGGAAAGTTTGATGTTAGCAGGCTGCTGGGGCAGACTGCTTCTCAAGTTATGCACATTGCTTCAGAAAACCAGACCCATATCCAGCCAAATATCAAAGCCATAAAAATTCTATGTACAAATTAATAAAAAAAGGACCCCAAACATTGTCCCAAAAATGTGTTTTGAGGAATATGAATAGATGGATTTTCATCCAGACATTTCCATGCTGAAGCCATTATTAATGCTATTACAAAAGAAAAAGAAACCTGAAATATCAAGTCAAATCAACCTCAGAGGACCTCAACAGCTTCTTAACTTAATTAGCTTCTTAAGGATCAGATACAAACAATGTCTAATCTAATCCTTTTCAAGAGATTTCTTTCCCACTGATGCATACATCTTCTGTGCTATAGAGTCGCCCTGGCTGAAGTGCAGCCACATTGCGTTGGCTATGAACACCCAGTGGGGAAATCACACTCCCTGCTTGAAATAGTGTTAAAATTCTACCTCATTTATACACCAATGTAAACTGCTTCTTGAGAATGGCCTTTTAAGAATAAAACTCATATCCACTTCTCTGATCCTCCCCACTGGCCTTTTCATAAAGTCCAAATTTTATAAAAGTTGTTTATGAAGAAAAAAAAAGGGGAAACCTCCCCACCCAAGTGATCAAAACACGTAATTGGATCTCAACACTGATTCTTAGAAAGCTGCTGAAGAAGCACAGGGTCTCCCAGATTTAAAAATAATGCGTAGGTCGTAACAGCGATTAAATGCTCTGTTTCCACAGCCTTCCATTTATCACATCAGGATGTGATGGCTCACTAGCAGGCAAAGCTAGCTCAGGCAGTATTTAGTTGAAGCTGCAAAACAAGCTCCAAGATGTCCCAAGAAAAGTTCACAGAACTTCAAATTTCCAGCTTTCCCAGTTAGGAAGCAGTAAATCTGAAAAAGGCAATCAAGAAGGCAGATGATCTTCTAGATGCACAGATGCATAGCATTTAGCTTCATAGAATTACTAAACTCAACAGTTCAACAATTCAAAAGGCACATTGACACTCTATGTGATTTTAACCAACAGGTTTTTCAGGCATTAGAATGAGAGGGGAAAAAAGAAAAACTCAGAAGGCAACAAATATCAAACAGCCAATTGACGAAAAACTTGATTTGCTGTCCTACCAACAAACTATCCTAGATACAAGATCATTCCACCAACACACAGTGCAAGTTTCTTATTTTGAATCCCAAATATATGTAGAATCAAGAATTCTTTTCCAAGAAGGTGCACACCAATCTCATTTCAAATCATGCTGTTCTTCCTGAACAGGGCTTGAAGGTCCAGAGAACATTCTTATCCTTGGCGTATTTAATTCTTTACAGCACAACTCTTGCCAAAGTAAACTAGAAGGCCAATTAAGAGAGATGGTGGGATGAGGGAGACCCAAAAAATCCTAGCAATAACTTTGATTACCACTGACCTTCAAATGAGCTTATCTGTTACACAAGAGGCAACATCCCTTGCTTAGGAAGTTATTCTACTGTTCAAAAGTTAGGAGACTTTTAAAGAAACACTTAGTGTTATGCTCTATTTTGATCAGCCATACTCCTGATAACTGCAACTTGCTCGAAAAGGGAAAGACCAGCTTCTATTTTGAAAGAAGAAGACAATAAACAGTAACAGGATAAATGATGAATGTGGCGGACAAATTGTTTATATCCAGTTTATTACCACCAACTGAAAGGATAATATTTTAATATAGGGTTTTTTTTTAAAGTTCTGTATTCTTTTTTGGTAAAATTAGAACAGTTTATATTTTTCCATAACAGGCAATATTTAAAACCTCCGGACATAGCTGGAGTTCACAATCCTTTGACAAAGCAAGAATGAAATCAAAAAAGAACCTGAAATCCCTGAACTCTAAACAGATTACAACCTAAACTGTAGAAAGTTATAAACTTTTTGCAGCAATTGCACATTCACATGTGGATCATGCAGTACTTGATCAACAATGCTTCATTCTATAAAGACGTATTACTCCTATTAAAAAAAAACACCAATTTTCCAGTGGTTTTCTGCTAACTGGAAAATACCCCCTTGACTTGATAACGGAGCTATGTACACAGAGGCTCCTTGCACAGCAGTAGGACAACAGAGCTTCTCATCAGCCTATTAACTGGAGAAAAGGAAACACTCCTGATCAAGCTGGCTAAGAATCAAGTATAAGTTCAGCTTTCAGTTTTGCTCTTTATATCCTGAATGGTCTTGGGCGAATGTTCTGTTCCCTGCATGGGGAAAGCTGTTTTGTGCAGACGTAAGACTGGAGGATTTGCACATTCTACAATGTATAATTAATTTGGCTAACACTATAAACAATATCAGTTTTAATACGCCTACTACAGTTCCCTTACCACCATCTCTATCCCATTCATAAGTGATACAAAAAAAGCATTTTTTAAAATGTCTGGTGGCTTAGACTCCTCTGCACTTCACCATACATAAAAAAGCAGCAATAACCTCTCTTCTTTTTTTTTTTAATGTTAATAACATAAGCTCTGTTGAGTACAGAAGCCTAATGCTACCTGCCCAGCTGTAACTACCTTCTAACAGCATAGGCTAATGTGTTGCTTCTGAATTCAGCCATTAACATTTTCATTTTTTCCATCCACAGCGCTTAGATTTTAAGTGCTTCAGAGGCACTCGTTAGCCTCAGCAAAGTGACATGGGACAAGCAACTAAAAACTGCACTATATGATCTTTGCTATTAGTTTCAGTA